AGAGCACAACCAGAGAAAACAATAGACAAAAGACGATCGAAAGTAAAAGCAAAAAAGAAAATTTCACATCAAGAAGTGCAACTACTCATCAATGTGGGCCGAGTTGACTAAAATTCGAGTAAATTGCCCACCATTTTAGAGAAACCAGGAAAGAATTATTAAAAAATATTCCATATGACCCTCACTATTTAGCTCACCTGAAGAATTAGAGATAATCTCGAAAACTACTTACATGGAAAATAAGTAATATTTTCGATTACATTGGCAAACACATGTTGGTTTAATCGAAGATATAAAGACAAAATTGGTGTGGCCAGGGGTTCTAACTAGTTTTTGCAACTTGCTCGTCTTGTTAAGGTGACCCAAATGAGCTCATCTTGCCAGGGGCCCGCTGCCATAGTAGTCATGCTCATTTCAGGCTTCGGAGTGAGTAGATGCCCCACTCGTTTGGGGAACTTTGGTCAAGAGGTGGACTTCCCTTGTCTCCTGAGTCTAAGCGATGACTTCGAGTGATGTGGTGTGAGACCACGAACCTATCAGGGCTACCCGCGGATGCTGGAAGTCCAGGTGAATGAGGTTGCACGGGAGGCCGTTTGGCGCCCGGAAACAAGAACCGTGAATCCCAGCCTCGGTCCTCTAGACCCGAGGAGAGAGTCCGCTTACAGCTGGCATGCCGACATCCGCACAAAGCAGCATGACTAATTGGAGAATAAGGGTTTGGCCGAAGCGAACTGCCACATTATCTTGGCCTTGTGGGTGATTCATTCATCTCCTGTTCTGTTGCATCCGATATGAATCAGTTGACATTCGCAAAGCGCCCTAAAAACATACAGAAGAGGAAACAGGATAAGCTGACTTTGAGGGTGGGCGGCAGTGAGGCTTTGCAATCCTGCACTAGATACCGAGACGATTTGACCTAATGATAACCACGATGATAATAGGAATGCTACTGATGGAGAGAAGCGGTGGAGCCGGAACCGGTCTGGACAGAAGTGGATGGCCGAAGAGCGTACGCAACAACGGACTGTCAGACAGGCCGGAAAGCTTGCACCAATTGCACTGGGGCCAACGTCGCCGGGGTCTGCGTGGTCACGGCATTCAGATGGTAGACGGTT